TTTTTTTTTTTTTTTTTTATGCATCTTGTGTATTTACTAATGTGTGGATGCATCGATTAACGAGAGTTTCATTCCTTTTACTCTTAACTTATCTTTATCTTTTTTCCTCCCTCTCTCTATTTCACTCCTTAATGATTTCATTTGGTGTGTTATGTTTGATATTCACTCCAGGGAAAGAAAATCGAAAATAAAAAAAATATATTATTGTTTTTTTTTCTTTTCTCTCTTTTCCTTTTCTCTTTTTTTTCATAAGGACCAGGCATTCTTAATATAATTTTTTTTTTCTTTTTGTTCCTTTGAAGAAGAGGGTGTTAATATTGCCGTTGACCGCATTTAACGACGATGGAGGAACTATGGAAGACATTAGTGGATGCCCACATGGAGGTGATGAATGCCACAGGATGGGGATCTTTGCTTGAGGGTTTGGGAGCATCATGGAAGGGTGATGGGAATAGTTCTTTAGTGGGATCTTTATATCAAAATGTTCGCGCTTTTGTGGATGCGGTAAACTGGTCTGAACCATTCTTTACATACCTGGCTGTATTTCACATTGTTGTTATTATTCTTGTGATTGCATTAACGTGGCGTGCATCTACAGAGCGCATATTTGCCATAGATGTACTGGTGCTTCTTTTAGGTTGGTGTTCATCTTATCTAAATGATTATGGTAGTTCCCACGCTGCGGAGATCTTTATAGAAAAGGGTGTTAATTACTTTGACCCGGATGGTCTATTTATCTCTGTTGTTTATTGGATTCCACTTTTTCTCCTGGCTCTTGCCCTGCAGGGACGCATTTTTCTCCGCTTATTGCAGTTGATGGTAAAAACAAAACGTCGACAGTTGCAGAAGGAGATGAGAGAGAGAGCGTCAGCGGCCACAGGAAAGGAAGAAAAAAAGAAGAATTAATGTTCATTCACAAAAATGTGTGAGAATTGAGTGAAAACAAAAACAAAAAAAAAAAATGAAGAAAAAGAGGGAAGAGAAAACAAACGGAAACAACGCAAAAGAAGGAAAAAAAAAAAAAAAAAACCCAGAAGAACAAAAAAGGAAAAAATGAAGAAATGGGTGAGTGAGTGATTCTTTTCTTGTATTGTAGATGTGCGTACACAGATGAGTCATCACTATTTAAATCATTCTTTACATTTCACTAGTCTACGTCTATATGGATAGATATGGTTTTTTTTTTTTTTTTTTTTTTTTTTAACCCATCTGATGAAAGAAACCGTATACACACACGCAACAACAACAAAAAAAAAAAACAAGGCCCTTTTTTATTTATTATTTATTTTATTATTATTTTTTTTTTGTTTCCTTGTTTTTCCATACAATAAAACGGGTAAAGGAAAAAGACAGCCATAACTGAATGGCATGAGCTCCTGGCTTTCATTAGAGACATTCCTACGAGGTAAAACTGCCTCTTACATTAGACGTGGTCTCTTTCTTACCTGTGCTTATGGTGTGGGGAGTGACTATTACTTGACTCACTATTATCACGCTTTCGATCCCAGTGAGGGGTCTTTGTATGTGATTGACTGGAGTCCCATTGGACGCCCACGCTGTCAAATGTATATACTACCAAACAATCACTATCCAAACTACAGTCCATGGACACCAAAGAATGGGGATGTTGTGTTAGCGCGTAAAGTCTTGACGGAACCAAACTGGCTGCAACTCATTAGTGGAAGATTTGTAGAGCGTGAGACGTGTGGAGCCCGTCTGGCGATTCCTCTTGAGGAGGTTCAACAGCAACAGAAGGAGCGTCAAGAACAAGAGGAAGATGTGAAGAAACTTCTTTAAGTGGGGGAGAAGAGGATCACACCACCATTATCACAGTGGGGGGAGTCCCATAAAAGCAAAGAGGGAAAGTGTGACATTAACGATATTTCTGAAGGATGAAAGTGAAGAAGGTGTGTGTGGTATTTTTATATAGTGGTTTTTATACGAACTCTCAAAAGAAAATAATCTTTCTTGTTATTCCTTCCTGAGGTTACTATGTGTATATATATGTATATATATATATTCTTTTTCTCCTCTTCGTCTCATCTTTGGTGGAGTATGGGGTTGAGACACCCTTGTAGGGCTTAGTGTATCTAGTGCCCGTAAAAAAAAAAAAATGTTACGACGGTGCGCTTTCCGCTGTAATACTGCGGCTGCTGCTTCCACTGTTGTTATCCCCACTACTACTAACAGTAATACTAATAGTAGTGGCAATACAAATACAGTACGTACTGGTGTTAACAGTAAGAATCATGTTACTCCACAGCATGTACCGAGTACACTGTTTTTGGAGCGTCGTGAAAAAATTCTCTCCGATCTTCGAGAGAATAAAAATGACAAAAGTCTTGCGGGTCGTGTGGATCCACAAATAGCACCACTTGTGATGTTTATTAACGAAAACTTCACTTCTTACGTGACATCCAGTTCCTGTTCTGGGCGGGCTTCATTGTTCCACAAGGGCCTTACATCTGATCCTCTCCCAACAGAACGGGTAGAACGGAAACGGGGTTCATTTGGTCAAGGTACGTTATTTCAATCGCATGATCGATTTCATGATATGGAGAGTGTTGTAGTGGAGCATTTAACACCTACACTAGAGAATTTTGCAGCGTGGCGAAAACAACAAGAAGAATATAAGAATAACGATCCTGTTGTTTACAAGACGGAATTACTACAACTTAAGTTTGAGCCGATGATTATTCACATTCTATGTGAAACGATGGAGGATGCATCCAAGTTACTGCAGTGTGCGACGGAGAGTGGACAGATGGAGAGCGGTGTGTTGTCCTTCTCGCGATGGACTAATGAGCAGCGAAAGATAACGTGTTGTATCACATCATCATTACGTTTAGATATCCCGTTATTCGCGGAGGGTCAATGGCTGTTGGGACACGCAAACTTTAACAGCCCGGAGTGGAGGGCGTTATTAATGAACAGCGTGAGACATATGAATATGTTGTTTGATGAGAATGAGGAGCGACGTTCTCGTTTTACCTCCGAGTTGAAGACTCGATTGCTGGGTTAAGAAAAAAAAAGAGAGAAAGAAAGAAAGAAATAGACCACAGAAGGAATGATTGACTTGTCACACATGGGTTGATCCATCTCTTAAGCTCTCTCTCTCTCTCTCTTTCTGTGTATAAGGAAGAAAGAAAGAACGAAGGAAAAGAAGTATATATATATATATATATATATATATATATACTGAGAGATGATTCAGATTTTCTTATTATGTGTTTCCTATTTGTCTTGATTTCTCCTTTATTTTTTCTTTTTTTATTATTATTATTATTCTCTTCTTTTGTTTTTACCTTATTTAGTTTCTGTCTCCTTCTACTCGGCGATGGAGACACTCTCTTGGAAGCAGTACGACGCCAAACACAATCTCTCCGCAATCCTCACAGCGGCGGCACGGTCTTGCGTTGAGGTGCGGGCATTGCGGCCGGCGGAGTTCCTCGCGGCGTACTTCACAAAGAAATGCACAGGAGATGAGATACGCAGTATTCACGTGCATGCACTGTATCTCCCAAATGGGTCTGAGGGACTGCAGATCACATTACATTTATTAAATGGAATGGAATCACAATCCACTGCATCTTTGGTGTTTTCATCCTCTAAAGCGGGTGAGGGCAGTGCAGGGGCGAATACAGAGGCTGTAGGTGATGTCGCTAACTTTACTTCAGATACAATAAATGCATTAAATCAAAATTATATTCCACTCTTGATTCAATGCGGGGCATGTGAGCAAACAAAGTATGATCAAATATTACGTGAAAATAGCACGGCTGCAGGAGCTATATATATAGGGAAAAGTGTTGTATATGCGTTAAGTATGGCAGCCGCATCTGCAGCTGCACGTTGTTTGTCACGTCCACTTTATCAGTATCTGGAAAAGTCAATGGATCCAGATAGTGAAGTAGAGATATTTGCGATGCCGCAACTGTGTATTAGTTTCTTTGGTCCTGAAAATCCTTCAACGGCTCGTGTGGCGGTGAAAGATGTCCTTCTCATCCCAGTAATGCCTGAAGGTTCTATTAGACGAGATATCATTCAAAAAATATTTGCCGCTTTTCGTCACTTTAGTAAAGCCCATAATACTCCTACAAGGCGTTATGATGGCTCTATTGCGTTTGATGGTTTTGAAAGTTTGATAGACGCTGTGAATTTGGCGGAAGAGGCCGTACGTGCGGTGGGACTGACACCTGTTAAAGATATCTGCGTCGGTCTGCGTATGGGAGCAGCAGTAGTACCACCACCACCACTACCAACAACAACAACAACAACAACTGGTGGAAAGGAAAGTAAAGAGGCAGCGGCAGCAGCAGCAGCAGCGGCAGCGGCAGCAGGAAAAGAAAACAAAGAAACAACAGATGTAATGTACGCGCTCTTCCCAGGTGATGTGGATGTGACGGGAACTCAACTTTCAGAATATGTGCGAGAACAATTACAACAACGCACAGATTTTGTAGTATATGTAGAAGACACACATTGTGATAAAGATAGTGCGGGACTTCGTCGTTTACAAGCAATCCTTGGTGGATCACTTACGGTCTCTGGTAGAGATCTGTTTGCCCAAAGTCAATATCAAAAAATAGATCAAGGACTTCGTGAATTGTGGACATCAAATATAGTTTTAAGTCCTAGTGATGTGGGTACCTTATCGGAGTTATATGATATTGTACGCACGGTAAGGAACTTTGAGGGACGTGGTATAAGTTTTGCAACCCAAGATTTAGTTGGGAATGCGGCATTGCTTGGACATCTCTCCATTGGTTTGGGGGCGAGGTTTATTATTATGGGTGGATTGCTGAGTTTCTCACAGTGTGAAGTACTCTCGCATGTGATGAACATTCAAGATGAGTTATTGCACTCCAAGACATTACGACTAGAGGCACCGAAGCTTTCTAGTATGGAGCTCCCAGAGGTTCCAACAGACCCGGTGCCGGAGATTAAACGGCGAATGGAGAAGAAGAAGCGAAGAAAATAAATACACACCAATCAACTACCCCCCCTATTCCCCTTTTTTTTTTCTTTGTGGTTTTACTGCTATGATGGGAGAGAGTACAAGGGATGTAAATAGAAGAAAAAAAAAAATAAAGTATATTATGGAAACCTGTGATGGGGTGAGCAACTTTTTTCTATTATTGTACTTCCCCACCTATTTTTTTTTTTTTTTCCTTTCCTCTTTTGTCTGTTTGCTTGTGTGTGGGGTTTGTCTGGAATGACTCTCTTTCTTTTTATTTTACTTGTGATATCTGGGTGTGTTAACCCCTTGCCGTTAGCAAAAGCTCCGATAAGTGATTAGGGGGAAAAGAAAAAAAAAGAAAAGGAAAAAAGAAAAGAGAAACAGTTTAACTCATATAAAATGTTTCAACGCACATTGGCAGTATTGCGGGTGAGTCCCTTCTCCGTCTTCTTAAAGGATTTGGGAAAGAAGAATCATCTGGCTGGTCTGCATGCAAAGGATGGCATTAAGGTCGCCTCCCGCATGTATAAATCCCTCACACCGGTGCAAATGAAAGCACTCAAGGCGCGTGCGGCTAAAATCAGGTATCCCGCACTTGATGCGTTCAATCGCTTTCAGCGGCAGCACGCATACCGCTTTACACATCTCAGCAACTTGCAGCGCCAACGCGTTATTGGAAAGATGTGGCGGGAACTGAGAGCGAAGCAGGGAAAGCCATCAAAGGGAAAAGGACGAAAAACAGTGAAACCAAAGAAGGTGAAGAAGAGCTCCGCAAAGGCAGCTAAGAAGACGGCAGCAAAGCGAAAGCTGAAAGCGAAGGTGAAGGGACCAGCAGCAAGAAAGATGAAGGTGGCAAGCCTAAAGTTCAGGGCATCTACACCAAAGTTTAAGTTGGCACCAAAGCTGAAGAAATCAAAGAAGTCTCAGCGCAAGGTTCTCGCCTGAAGATAAATTTAGATTAATTTAGATTCATGGTATATGGAAAGGATATATATATATATATATATATAATCTTACATATGAATGAAGGGGCAAATACAAAAAAAAAGGGTAAATTTGCGTAAAGCATATTTCTCCTGATGCGACCTCAGGATCGGTTTTTATTTTTCTTTTCATTTTTTTTGGATATTTTACTTTTGTTTTTTTCTTTCATGGAGATTGCAAGAAAGAAAAAAAAAAACAAGAATTTTTAATTGTTTTCTTTTTCCTTTCTGCAGTAAGTCTCCATGCACGGACGGAGGATATTAACAAACAAAAAAAGAAAAAGGCAATACTATTATTGCCTCTCGCAAAATGAGATAATTTAAAGGAATTTGTTTAAATCATGGGGAAAATGGCATGCATATATATATATATATATATATATATATATATATATATA